ACCAGCCCCAACTCCCGCAGCCTGTCTTCACAGGAGAGCTGCTCCAGCCCTCAGACCATTTTTGTGGCTCTTTTCTGAACATGCTTCAACAGCTCCATGTCCTTCTTGTGTTGGGGGCTCCAGAAGTGGACACAGTGCTACAGGTGAGGTCTCACCAGGGCATGATCACTGCAACCCAGGCCGCCTGTAACCTTGACATCACTGATTAGCTTCTTGCGTTGGTGAGCATCAGATCCAGTATTGCATCCTCTCTGGCAGGTCTGTCTGGTAGATGGCTTAAGGAATTATTCTTCATGTATCCCAGGAGTCTCTTGGATTACCTACAGGTTGCCGTGCTAGTTTTCCAGCAGATGTTGGGGTGATTGAAAGCCCTCAGCAAGACAAGAGCCTGCGAGCACAAAACCTCCTGTAGCTGGAGTAAGAAGGTTTTGTCAACAGGCTACCCTTGATCAGATGGCCTGTAGTAGACACGAGCCACAAGGTTCCCTTCATTGCTTCAGTCTCTAATCCTTGCCCATAAGTTTTTTATCTGCTTGTGGCTGTTCTTCAAGGATAGTCCTTCACACTCTATTTCTTGATGTAGAGGGCAACACCTCCACCCCTCCTGCCTCACCCGTCCCTTCTGAACAGCCTGTAGCCATAAATAGCTGCATAGTACTTTCTACAAAGCTCAACTTGTATGGATCTAGATCTAGAGAAATACATAAAGAACTTGTTCAGCAATGCCAGCTCCAGGACCTTCAGACATCACAAGATAGTCATCCTTCCTAGCACAATACTGAGGTTAGCTGGGAGGAAAAAAAAAAATCCACATCTGGGAGGAATAATACACACAGAGAGAAAAATGTCATTCTGTTTTGAAGTAACTTTCTCAAATTGTTCTATGCAACTGTGAAGATTTGATATTTAATAGCTTTTAAAATGGGAAGAGATTCTCATGAAATTATACAATATAATGCAACAAAACACAAGTTGAATCCCAAACCACTAAATATAAAACTTGGATATTTGATACACCTGATAGTAAAATTAGAACATTGAACTGTTGCCTGGGTAATAACCCTTGTTCAACTGTATTTGTGTTGTTTCCCACAATTCTTTCTTCTTGCGCACAGTAGGACAACTGTTGAAAATTCAGAGGAAAGCAATTCAAAGTATGAAAGACATGAGGGAGCTTTTATATTTAGCTTTGTTTAAACCTGGTCCTATTACTTCTGGAAACAACTGAACAATACTGCTAAGTATTTGATCTCTTATTTTTCACAGCTTACCCTCAAGTAATTACATATTTAGACTTCAAATGACAGCTTCTCCATCTCACAGCTGTTTGCACTTATGACTTTACAACTAAAAATCCGAGTTAAAAAAAAACCCACCACCTTAAGAGCTGTTAAAGAGAGATCAAAGCAAGTTTGCAGTTTAAGAAAAGACAATTTTCAGGGAAAGATGTTATTACAGTCTAAAATTATCTTTAAAAATACAGTCAGAGGGCAAGCTTTCTTTTTTGACTTCAGAAGGTGATGAAGCAAATCTTAAGAAAAGTTTGTTAAACATTACGAAAAGTCATAGTGTGTTGACCATAAGCAGGCTCTGAATTGGACTGCTAAGGACTGTTTCTATAACATCATCAAGTAAGGAGTCTGCAAGCCACGCGTATAAAATTTACGGACCACAGCTGAGCCACCTGTGTACAAATCATCAGCTACATTTAGGATGTGCTGGATTTCCTGTTCGTGTGCAGTTCATTACCCAGTTTATGTGTACATGGGCAGTGTTACATGAAGCTGACAAGTTGCCACTGACAATTTTAGTTGCTTCTTCCCCTGACAGAATTCACCTGCTAAAAGCACAGTGCTGAGACTGGGCTGAGTAAAACACAGAAGAGGAACTCTTCTCTTCTGGTATGGCTATCACATAAACCACAGACTGCAATAAAATTTCATTTCCTTTAGTATCCAGCTACCTGCATGGAAGGAATAAATAGTCCTTTTAGTTACTAGAAATATTGTTTCTTGTTCCTCCAGTTTGGTCACTCATGCTTTTGTCTTACAGATGAGAAAGTTAAAAGGTGTTGTGTGCGTGCTGGCATATTGCCCAGGCTTTCTTCTCAAGCGAAATAACAGAGCATGAATGCTGAGGAGATTCATCTGACCTCTGAGTAATGCCAAGCTCTGTGTTTTCTCAGGGAACTTTTTGCACTGGATCGGTTCATGCTAATGAAAGAGCTGGAGAACCTTGATATTCCCTTGGTCAGTGTCCATTGTGTTTAGGTAAACTGGTGATTGCTCTTAGTTTCACTCTTTCTGCTGCTTTTCTTTGCTTAACTCAGAGCAAAAATGGCTCATAAGAGAGAGGTCTTGTGATTTTTTTTGTTCACAATGTGATGGAATTCACTTTTTCACTTCTTTATTCTACTGATTTCTGACAGCTGTGTTCCTCCACGGCAGAACAAGACTGTTTTTCTTGCATAACTGTGATGACTAGGAGAGTGGGGGGAAAAAGAAAGTCTTTTCTACAGACTACAGCAGCAACACCCTGCATCCCTTGTTGTTAAGACAAATCCCTAGCCAGGGAGTTTTCTTTGCAGGGCTCTTAATCAACAAGCTGTGACAAGACTCAGCTTCTCTTGTTGATGTGGAAAGTGAAGATACAAGTGGGTGGAATAGTAAGGAACAATGTTGCCCACAACATCTTTCTGAGTTCTCCCATCAGTGAACCAGTGCCAGCTAGAGGCTAGGGTCCTTCAAGCATTACTGGAGGGAGAACCTGTTTTTGGAAGGAGTTAGAGTGAAATTTGTGCAGAAACAGTTTCTGGCTCAGCAGTACCCAATATACAGTACAGACTGGACTAAACGTATTACAGGCAGCCTTACGAACAGCAGTTTGCTCTTCAAGCTAGTTAAGCACCAGGAGATTTTTTTATGCTTAACAAAAAATTAGCTTTATTCTTGACTCTCATTCCATAAAAGCTATGTCTAGACAAATATTTCCTATGAAGATCTGCATGACAATGGTAGGAGGTTTACAGCTGACCTGTAGAACAGCAGGACTTTCACAGTGCTTTTAGTTGAGAATTGATGCCTTATGTGAATGGTGGTCCACAAGAAACTTTGAGGGTAAACATGGCTTTCTAGTCCAAACTGTCTGATCTGGGATACTGTTGATGGATAGCAGGGGAAGATCTCTCCTCTCTACATAAATTGTTGATTTGTCATGTTTAGTCACCAATGACAGTGATACAGAACACAAGACATGTTGTGGACAACGTCCTACTTTGTTTTCCTTTTCTAACTTTTCAGTTTCCTGTGGCAATGTTTGAGAGTCATCTGAACAGCATGTTGACCAAGAACCACAAGAAGAAGGAAACAGAGGTAGGATCAAGGGGAAAGAATGGGTAAGAAAGTGTCAAGTAGCTGAAATGAATGTCTTATCTCTTGACTTCTAGTGGCCAGAAAGGTCAGAGGGGGAAGAGTGGTCCACTTGAGTAAGAAGGGGGACCTTATACCCCACACATTAGTTCCCCAAGTCACAGGCAGGAGTTATCCAGCATATACCCCCAACTGGCCTTCTGCATGCTGAAGAAGACAAAGACCAAAGCTGTGCAGTGCTCCACCTGGAGCATCACCAGTGTAGCTGCAGCTGGTAAGGCATACAGATGATGCCAGGAAACAGGGTTTGTGCAATGGAAGAATGGCTACACCTTCTCTCTCTTGTTCTCCCACAATGCAAATATAATGTCCTTTTTAAATCAGGGAACTGAGGTATGTTCTTTCCAAAGCTCTGATTCATAACGAGCTTTCAGATGGGCATGGCAGTTCCTTGTGCTTTGTGGCCGTAACACTGGTACCCTGGCACTTCTCACACAGACATCTCAGAGCAGCAAAGCAATGAGGAGGCTTCCCCTGCCCCAGATAACCCATGCACTACCGTGCTGCTTGCTTTAAAGTAATAAAACACCGTCTGCCAACTGCTGTTGCATTAGTGCAACAATACTTTCAACAAGTTTTCCTCAAATGAAGCACAAATTTGAAATAAAATAGTGTTTGCGAATGAGGTTTCTCCTGTATGTCCTGACCTAAGGATTTAGTGAATCAATGACAGAGCTGTTGTTGCTGAGCCTGTGGTGAAATATCTCTGGTCTTTCCACTGAGTCTGAAATCTCGTCACTCTTTTTAGTTTCCTGGGATTGTTTGTTTAAGAGTTTTACTTAAACAACATTTGGGTGGTTTGCAAAAACACAAATTAATAAATCCAGTGTTAGGACATTATACTGAATATATAACTCAGCATAGTGTGAGCAGAGTGAGAAGCACAGATCTCCTTTTTCCCAGCTGGATTAGTTTTCAGGAAGTATGAGAACTTTGTTGTGAGTTTCTGCTTCTCTCACAGCCGGACCGAAAGCAGACTTTGGAGTTTCAAAATAACCTTAAATAGTCACAATGAATATATTTTAAATGCTGTGATGTGACATCTTCTGTAGATACAATCTGGGTAAGAAAAGAGGTTTTGCTAAGAGTTCAACATTGCAGCTATATCTAATGTAATAAATTCAGATTTTCAGCCTAGAAAATGCTTCTCACAGGACTATGGTTTAAACTCTTACTCATTACATTTCCCTTGCACAGAATCCTCAAGTTTTATACTGGATACATTGATTTTTACATGAACCGTGTATAAGTATTCCTGACAACTAACAGCTTGAAAAAGAATCTGGATTCCCCAGCTGTTCCACATCACTTCTTACTTTACACTTTCAAGACAGCTTCCAGCTTGCCACATTGAGAGCTTGTGTTGTGTCTCCCTAGCATTGACTAGCAGCCATAGAGAGCTGTATGTCCCTATAAGGCATTTCATCAGACATGGGATGTTCTCAGCTTTATTTCTCTGAAGGATACAGCATAATCCTCTTAACAATACAGTAAGAATGATACCACACTTCACAGATGTAGGCATGTACCAGAAGGAGAACGTGATTCTACCCAGATCTCTGCAAGCACGTTCCGGGCAGTCTGTGGAATCTAGCCCCAAGACGCCCAGCTGCACATCTGACTGAGCTGCATATTCAGATAAGCTAGAAAACAAGGGTAGTACTACATTTTGCTGGCACAACTTCAGAGCTTTGTTGAAAAACCTGGTTGTGCGCATTTTCCTCCATGCAATGATGAACAAGCTATGAATTTACTTAACAAAGTCTAAGTTATAAAAAATATTCAGGAACCAGAAAAAAACACACCAGATACATACCAAAAAATGGACCTGATGACATGAAAGGGTTATATGGGGCTGAACTCAAATCCTTTCCCATCCAGTGGGGCTTTGTGGAACAAAGTGCTTGGCAGCGCACAGGACACTGGGCACAGTGCTAATAGTTCCTTACCTCAGGGAATTTCTTCTTTTGTAAATATTCTGTCATTGCAGGATCAAAATACTTTGCATAACCCTCATTGAGACTGTATATCTTCCCTTTCTTCTTGATTTTAACATCTCTGTCCACCAAAATAAATTCACCAAGACCCTACAGAATAGGACAGACCAGCTATTAGCAAGCAGCAGAATATTTTGTTGACTTTCTGTGACAGTTGTCACACTGGAGATGACAGAAACACTAGCACAGCTTGGTCCTTTCAGCACCAGCCTTGCATGCACATTTTAAACAGAGCAGAAAAAACAGAATCTGCATTAAGTTCATGAAAACTTGTCACAGTGGCACTATAAACAAATAGCAATTTGACAGTAATAGTTAGCCTATCAAAAGCACACTAGTCAGACCTGAAAGCAGATGGATCGTGAATCTCTGTCCACAAATCATGAAGTTACAATTTAAGAAATTACAGTGCCTTCTTCTGATTTTTGGACTCTTCTTGCCTGTCTTTTCTAAATGTCTTAATGTGGTTAGCTACCCTTTGGTGTTGCTGTTTGCAGTTTGTGTGACTTCCACGTTCTCTTCCTTTGTCCCTCAGTTCTTACCGCTTGGAATGAGTCTATTTATAAAATTTAAAAGGAGTTTTGATAATAATGCATCCTTTTATCAAAAAACCCTCCTATGTTTATTGCATACATCTAATGCTGATTTCTCAGATGAGTGGCCTCCTTCCTGCATTCCTCCAGTATAGCTTTTTGGGCTCCTGGGCTAGGCACTGAAGGGGAGCACATGTTTGATTGTATGGGTATGGTTGTGTATATGTTGGATATGCAGCTTAAATTTTATGGACTTAGCCATAAAACAAAATTGCACTCAGGAAATTAGACGTCATGACACAAGAATTGTATCAAAAAATTATCCTTGCCCCAGGGTAAACACTGTACATGCTGAGGTTCTTCTACAGATAGAAAAATCAAGAACAAGAAGAAAAGCAGTTCCTTTAAGCGGAGGCAAAGACACGGTTCAGCGTAAATTTTCTGAAATGTGTGCAAACCAGCAGTCTGGTTTGAATGCACAGGGTTACAAATGCTATTTACCTTAAAAAGAATCGTGTAGATCGCCTAGGTTACAGAGACAAGGAGTAACAAAAATGAACAAACTCAAGCACAGAAAGCTTTAAAAGACAGCAGCAATGTGATTAACACCACGACTGTACCGGGTCGAGCATGAAGCAGTCCACTCCTTGCCCTGTGGAGAGGGCGACCAGCGTAGCACTGCCGTACAAGGCATAACCTGCAGCAACAATATTACGTCCAGGCTGCAAAGCATCTTTTTCAGAGGGCTCAGTGTCTGTTTCCTGAAGAAAAAATACCATTGAACTGAAGGTTAAATTCTTATGAGAAACAATAGAAACATCACTTCAAGAATAATGTGGGGCAGATTTCTTTTTTGTGTCTAAGCAACACAATATTAAGACACTTTTTGTGTCTTTGAAACAACCAAACAGAGATTGTTCCCAGTAGTTCAGGGCAAGTTTGGTACATGTGCATGCTGGGACAAGAAGTTGAGAGTTTGTTATTTTATACATGTCATGCAATCAATATGATACCTGGAACAAAGCTGATACCTTAGCATTACAGCCCAATCTATTTATTCATTATCAGAAATCTGAGACCAAACAGAGGCACTAATTTTCTCTAAATAACATAAGCTACCATACTGACACCCCTCAGAGGGAATGACTGTGAGGTGAGTACAGTAATTAACATTACAGATAAACTGATTCCAGTAATGCAGAATAAAAGGGTAGATGGTGCAACATGATGGAACAAAGATTGTGCACTGGACTCTGCTGGTGAAGACATGGGTAACTGAAGTGATAGAAATGTGAACATTATGTATAAAATAACAAATACATATGTAACGTGTGCTTGTGTGCAGGTATGCATATATAGCTCTATAGAGAACATTCACATGGCATTTCACTTCAAGGTCTTAATCAACCTCCAACACTCGTGTTTTGATTTGGCACTGTGGTTATCACTGAGCAACACCAGCCCAAGCACACCTGGTGCAAATATTCCTTGCCAACTCTGGGGGTGTGCCTCAGCCATGGCTTACAAAAGTTTGACTGGTGGGGTAAGAATGGGGAACAGACAACAGTACTTGGGAATGCTAGCTCCAGCCTTCACTTCCTGGGACTACAAAATACGTAGCAAATGTTTGATACTAATTCTTCTTTAAATGTTTCTGGTTGTGATGGATCTTCTGTGGATGTTTTGGTGGTGCTTCATGAAAAGTCAAAATGAGAACTGTCTCAGATACTTTCTTCAAGCTCTGCTTTAGCATTTTATTGTTCATTTGGACATTACTGTCCTGATTCAACCTCAGCTGCCAACTAGACCTCACACAGCTGCTCACTCACTACCCCCCAGTTGGATGGGGGAGAGAATTGGAAGGGTAAAAGTGAGAAAACTCATGGGCTGAGATAAAGACAGTTTAACAAGTAAAGCAAAAGCTGCACACTCAAGCAAAGCAAAACAAGGAATTCATTCACTAATTCACATCAGCAAGTAGGTGTTCAGTCATCCCCAGGAAAGCTGAGCTCCACCATGTATAGTGGTTACTTGGGAAGACAAATGCCATAACTCCTAACACTGCTGCCCCATTCCCTCCCCTCCTGCCCCCTTCTTTTCCCAGCTTTATATGCTGAGCATGATGTCATATGGTATGGAATATCCCTTTGGTCAGCTGGGGTCAGCTGTACCAGCTATGTCCCCTCTCAACTTCTTGTGCACCCCCAGAGTACTCACTGGTGGGGTGGTGTGAGAAGCAGAAAAGGCTTTGACTCTGCACCACTCAGCAGTAACAAAAAAATCGCTACTTCTGCTTACAGTTTTTAGCTGTATTTTTCTCAAAACATCTTCTTTTTAATTCATAATAAAACATTAGTATTATTTTGCTAAGCTCTTCCATGGAAAAAAAATCCATTTACCAACCAGCTCTTCATGGGAGCTGAAATAAAGCATGTACAAATACATCTGGTACGCAGTCCCTTGGAGTTACTCTATGTCAAGCTGTTTATTCAGAGAGGTTATAGTGCACATACTGAGGGAAAACTAGTTAAAACCCCTGTTTGTATATTGCAGAGCTGTGAATACTGACTATTAGTGGCCAATCTTTCGCTAAACAATCTTTTACAGAGCAAACTATTGTACCCTACATAGCATTTTCTTTTTTTTAAAAAAAATATATCCCCATGGTGCATACATTTCAGCATTAAAAGCAATGGTTGTCTAGAGTAGACTAATTATTTGCAACATTAAATGTACAATTAAACATTCATTTACACAACTAGCTGCATACATACTATAATTCTCCTAGCTTTTTGTATGCTTTGCTCATTAAACAAAAAATAACTTTGTATAAATATAGTAAAGCAGTCTGCGTTATAGAACATGATATATGTACAGTATACATAGCTGCGGGTTACACCTTGATTTGAAATACATTTTTCTGAGATGAGGTTTTCAGTCCTATGTCTTAGATGCTTTTCTAGTTTATATGACAGAGGAACTACATATTTGTCGACTACAAAAAAAGCCCCACAGAACTCCCTCAGGAGATGGACATTTGAGCAGAATTCACTTCTTTTTTTCCTGTCCTTATTCTCAGCTGTGTTTCCAAGAGCCAGCTTCCAAAAGGAAGTAAAAAAGTTCGGTCTTGAACAAACATTTTGCAGAACTTGTCAGAATGTGCAAAAGCTAGAGATCAGCTGATACTTCATTTTTAGGACTGCAGGAGTTTTGACCT